AATAAATTGTCTTCCTTTTTTCTGAACATTGCACTAGCAGCACCTCATTTAGAATGAAATTAAATTCATTTTGTTTTCATGTATAATCATTAAATACACTAGAAATATATTTTATGTGTGTCACAAAACACTCATTTGTCAGTGAATTGAGTGATCGTAAATATTTTAATGAGATATCTGCATGTATTTACCATAAACGAGGAATGGAGGAAATTTGGGTTAAGAAAAAAACGATCGTTTTTGGAAGTAAACAAGTAAGGTAATACTGCAAAACAGATAAGATTATTGAGATTTATTGACAGTTGGAGCATGTTGTCTGGAAAATATTCACTGGTTGGGAATTAAATAGCTAAAAACTGGTGGAAATACCAGTTGTGCTTTTCATGTATTGCGTGTGTAGTTATAATTTTTACTAGCCCGATGGGCTACCTCCATGCAGAAAATCACTAGCCCGACCCCAAAAAATGGTAGCCCCGGGCATCGGGCGATGCTAATTGCACACCCCTGAAAGTTGATCTGTAACTCAATCACAAAAGTACTTACATACCAAAAATCAGATCTTTTCAGCAAATACAAAAATCAGTTCTTTCAGCAAATACAATTTATCATTGAGTCAAATGCTGATTGATGTTTTTCATACTAATTGTTTGCTCTTTATTTACACACTGAATTGTCAACAGATTTTTCCGTTCTTTCCTGAACATGACAAGGAGCACTCGTGGGTGTAACTGGTAGGAAGGGGATGCTCAATTCTCCATGGCACTTGATCCCACCTCTGATGTTTTAGAGGTCCATGTTTGCTCTGCTCCTATTTTGTATTGTTAAATGGACTTTTGAGCTTGAATAGTGTTTGTTATCTCCATATATTTTGTTCAACATTGGAAAGCATTTAGAACAAAATTGGAGCATTTAGAAAACAAAGTGTGGAAAACTATATACCCTTTACTATAATTAAGATACTTTGCAGCAGATTTAAGTGAATTTTTTCCGATGATCCTGGATAAAACATGCAATAAAAACAAAACTGATTATGAAATGCTCTTGCCAAAGTGTATCAATGTAGAAAATCATTCCAAGCTTATAACTTATTTATATTTTGAAAAGAAATACATTTGAACAATAAGGTCAACAGAAAGGTGTAAGTCATATTAATCTGGCACAGTCCCACTTCACTCAACAAGACATAACCTTGTATGATGTTGTATAGAATAAATATGAGCCCAGTAGAAAACCAAGTCAATGTCATATTGAAAAATCAATGTAAAGATCTTGAATACTTTTCTTAAAACTAAGCTAATAACAAGAGGCCCATGGGCCACATCGCTCACCTGAGAAGCTTTGACCATTCTGTTCTTTACCAGATTTCCCCCTTGTTATACATAATGCATCCCCACCCTACCGCACTGATCATAATTTAGACATTTTGAAATCTACACTACCCATGAACTTTCCATGGGCACATATGTTTCAGCTTTTTTGGCCCAGTGGTTCCTGAGAAGAAGATTTTCAAAGATTTTTCCTATATATTTCTATGTAAAACTTTGATTCCCTATAATGGCCCCGCCCTTCCCCCGGGGGTCATGATTCCTACAATTTAGAATTTACACTACCAAAGAATGCTTCCACATAAGCTTAACTTTTTCTGGCCCAGTGGTTCTTGAGAAGAAGATTTTCAAAGATTTTTCCTATATCTTTCTATATAAAACTTTGATTCCCCATTGTGGCCCCGCCCTTCCCCCGGGGGGTCATGATTTAAACAATTTAGAATCTACACTACGCAAGGATGCTTCCACATAAGTTTCTGCTTTTCTGGCCCAGTGGTTCTTGAGAAGAAGATTTTCAAAGATTTTTCCTATATCTTTCTATGTAAAACTTTGATACCCCATTGTGGCCCCGCCCTTCCCCCGGGGGTCATGATTTGAACAATTTAGAATCTACACTATACCAGGATGCTTCCACATAAGTTTCAGCTTTTCTGGCCCAGTCGTTCTTGAGAAGAAGATTTTTAAAGATTTGTCCTATATACTTCTATATAAAACTTTGATTCCCCATTGTGGCCCCGCCCTTCCCTCGGGGGTCATGATTTGAACAAATTAGAATCTACATTATTCCAGGATGCTTCCACATAAGTTTCAGCTTTTCTGGCCCAGTGGTTCTTGAGAAGAAGATTTTCAAAGATTTTTCCTATATATTTCTATGTAAAACTTTGATTCCCCATTGTGGCCCCGCCCTTCCCCCGGGGGTCATGATGTGAACAATTTAGAATCTACACTATACCAGGATGCTTCCACATAAGTTTCAGATTTTCTGGCCCAGTGGTTCTTGAGAAGAAGATTTTCAAAGATTTTTCCTATATATTTCTATATAAAACTTTGATTCCCCATTGTGGCCCCGCCCTTCCCCCGGGGGTCATGATTTGAACAATTTAGAATCTACACTATCCCAGGATGCTTCCACCTAATTTTCAGCTTTACTGGCCCAGTGGTTCTTGAGAAGAAGATTTTTTAATGACCCAACCCTATTTTTGTCTTTTCTTGATTATCTCCCCTTGCGAGGGGATATGTCCCTTCATTTTAACAATTTGGATTCCCCTTTACCCAAGGATGCTTTGTACCAAGTTTGGTCAAAATTGGCCCCCAGTGGTTCTTGAGAAGAAGTCGAAAATGTGAAAAGTTTACAGACGGACAGACAGACAGACAGACGGACGGACGGACGGACGGACGACGAGTGACTGTTGCCCCTTTTGTTCATTAGACAAAATGTGATTTTTATTGCCCATTGAAAAGCTCAAACTTGAGCCTTCTCCGCTCAGGTGAGCTATTTTTTTTTAATAGGAACTGAGGCACAGGGGTCACAACACTCACCTGAGTGACTGTTGCCCCTTTTGTTCATTAGCTGCAGATTCTTTTTCCTATATATTCTAATGTAAAATTTTTATTTGCATACACGAAAAATAAGCGATATAGGGATCCGATGTATATTTTTGCATTGTAGTTCCAGTCTTATAAGACATTATTATTTAAACAAACTTTAAACAAAATATTAGTAAGCATGAATTTGGTACTCCTTGGAGAAGATTTTTAAAGATTTTTTTTTTTGTATGATTTCCTGTGTAAACTTTTATTGTCTATTGTGTTGAGGCCATACAATTGATTGATCAACACTTGATTTTCTATTTGAAGCTTTACAATAAAATAGAGACTTAGTGCTTTCATATCCTATTTATAAAAAATTTTCTCGTAAAAGTCAAGGCCTTGGAGAACTGGCTTTATGAAATTGCAATGTACCAGTACTTGAATTTTTAGGAAAGCAGGTATAATTGAGTACTTTCAGTGAAGAAAAATAATATGAGCACACTCTCTGATCTAAAAAATAAAACATGTTTTTTAATCCTCAGAAAAAGTTCTATCAATTACTAGTTGCATATTTTAGATCAAAGGTTTTGCTCTATATTAAATATCGAAAATGATTTAAAAATTGGCCGTTTTTGTAGACTTTTTCAGAAAACCATATAATCCCTATTAACTGCCCCTGCCCCTATTAGTGCCCCCTTAGGTCTTTTTCAATTGTCAGGAAATAAGGGCACCCTGTACAGTGATTAAAATCAACAAGAATGGTATCAAAAAATTGAAGAAAGTGAAAATGAAACATGTCTATTTTCCAATTTCTTAGTGGAAAATGAATGATTTAGCATAATTTGGGTGGATTATCTTCACTTTAAGTAAAGTTAGACATTATTTTAGTGCTTCCTTGCATTTATTTTTTTTTTCAAAAGATTTCTTGAAGTTAAATTTAAAATTTGACATTAAATATCACAAAGAGAATACCAAAATAACTGCCCCCTTTCTGCAATTTTCCAAGCGCCCGGGGCGGTTAATAGGGATTATACGGTATGAGGAAATTGACACATTTCGTGACATCATAATGCATTGACTAGCCAGAAAATTACGTCATTTTTGATAGATATGCAGTCACCAAAGATCTAAGTGATATTCAATGCATTGTTCACTAAAATTATGTAGTTTCAGTTTTTCAGAAATTCACAGGGCAAAATAAGGCAAAAGTGAACCTTGTTCTTTGGATGAAAGTGGCAAAATAGCTCTGGAGATCAAAGACGTAATGACAGCAATGCTGACAATAGACTATGGACAAATTTTGATCAGAAAACCCCACTTGAGCCTTTGGCTCAGGTGAGCTAAAAAGTTTGGAAGGTCAGACATTATTCGACTAAAAGATAAAAGAAGACACGGCCAACACATTTTGATACTGATCATGTACAGAGTGGGGCCATGGAGATCAATTTAACTATTTGTTCTTAGTATTGGGATGAAAGGCTTTATGATAGGAAACATCAAATTTGTTATTGCCAAACCACTGAGAAAAAACAATTTCTTTTATAAATTAGCTTGATATATGAAACATTGAGTTCATATTACAGTTTCCATTGCTTCTCTTAAAGTAAGAAACAGCCTGGGTTGTCCTTCCTTTGCAGTCTGCTCTAGTCAGTGCTTAATACAACAAGACCACAGGACACAAAGCTCACCCAAGTCAAAAAGTACTTGTGAACAAATTCTTTTCATCAAAATGCAAAAAGGTCTCAAAGTCACTATAGCTCTGAAACCAAGCTGGAATTCTTATTGCTGTGAATCAAATGGAAAAATCCTTGTGCATTAGTAAGGTGAGCTAATCGCTGCTTCAAAAGCTAATTTCTGGCTATTCATATTCCTGTACATTTTTTCTTTTATATCAGTATAATATGTGAATAAGTCTAATACCCATGCATTAATCAATTAAGTTAGCTAATCCCTGCTTCAAAAGCTATTTCTGGGTTATCATCTAAATTTTACTTTCGTATTGATATAACAAAAGGGATAGTAAAGGGATTGATGCACAACAAACCAATTGGTAATTAAGTTCTGTCCTTAAGAATTAACTGTACATTGTAAATCTTGAAAAGCCAATGTTCTACATATAACTTAAACAATAACAAAACTTCCAGGCTGATAGATGAACAGCTGAGAAAAGCTTATTTGATTTAATGGCTCAGGTGAGCCAATAAATGCAAAAATAAATGATTTGTCACTCGTAAATCATGAACACAGAACAGGCAATAGAGATGGCAGGGTGAAGTAATTATCTTTGTACCTATACAACTGTCAGCTTCTGTAACTCTTCATCAATAAGTGACCAATCAAATCCTACGGTCTGCTTCCTTTGTAATGATTGACGGCTGCTCAGCTTAACGTTAGAGGTTTCCCAATAACTGCAGTCATTCAATATTCCAATAAAATGCATTGCTTAAGGTTTGGCTTGTGAAACCTATCTATAATGTTGCTGGGGATAATATATGTCTACATAGATACACGTGTTTCACTTAATCATCAAACCAACTCTTCACTGGACCTTACTAGCAATCTGGAAATTTGAAACAAGTATGTATAATTCTTTCTTTCTCTGTTTTTAATTCTAATATTTATTTTATGAAAATAACTTTCCTTATGAATTAATAACTAATTGTCAGTGCTTCTTAAATTCCAAAGTCAATAACTTTCCTTATGAATTAATAACTAATTGTCAGTGCACACTTTTTAAATTGCACTAAGCATTATACAAGCTGATACATAAATTTATTATTTTCTGTAAATAGGAGTAAACTGTATGTATAAAATTGATATAATCATATTTAAAGGTGCAAATCTGAAATGCTTTTAGATTTTACTTATTATAGACTGCAAATTGTGAAAATCTTTTTAGGCTTAAAATTTGTAATTTGTAACACAAATCAATATGACAAAATAATTAAATTATTAATAAAATCTGTCCTCAACTCATTTAACGAGTTACCCTTTTACCCCCAGTCAACAAGAATTTAATAAAAAATGTGCAGTGCTGCCTTATAAGATTATTACTGCAAATAGTGCAAAGTACCAACAGATGGTACAACGTTAAGTTAACAATATTGCCGAATAAAACGACAAATCACAGCAGGTGGCTGAGTGATATTATAACATAAAATATCACACATTGGTTCCTCCAAACTAAAATGTTATAAATTAGATTGTATGAAGTATTGCGTATCTAATATCAAAGCTTATAACCTTGCAGATTTACATTACCAATAAATAAATAGTTGAAGCATATATCAATAAATACTCATAAAATGAAACTTAAAGCAAAAATTCAATAGATATCTTGAAGAACCTATCAACACCAGGCATAAAAACAGTCTAGCTAGACTGGCATTTTTATGCATGCATGAACACTTTTATTGAATGTTGATACATTTTCATCAAAAATATTTGTATGTCTTAAAGAACATGCAATAATTTCTTAATTCATACCTCTTCAAGATACAAAACTACTTAAATTTTTTCCCCCTTTTTTAAGGAGATATCATAAATATACAAGTCCCCTCCTCCCCCCACTAAAAAAAAAATGACATTGACTTTCTCTGTCAGGTTGACCTGAACTTCTAGCCTTATTTACTCTGACTTGTTATTCTTAGTTATTTGTTTGCCAAGAACAATATCTGACAATTCTAAATATACATACTAGTGTTTATCCAGATGGAAAATCTACAATTAACCTTCAAACTCTAAAAAAAATATTAAACAAGCTGTTCAAATGAAAAAATAGCATGCCATATATTTACATAGGCATGTATATCAAATAAGACATATCTATAGATCTATCAGCATGGCTGAGATTTTTCTGGACTGTCAGATGACTTTTTTTGCCATGTGTAGAATAAGTCAACATTCTCACCCCAATTTTATATTCCTCTACTCTCCATGGTTCCAAATTTATGATATTTTCAAGCATTCTCTTCAAAGAATGGCCACTTAATATTTGGCATACAATGCATACAACTACATTTGTTTGAATTGCATACAACTCACTCTATTTTAAGGCTGGGACGATACAACTTTTTCTATATCGATATGTATCACGATATTTGAGCCACGATACGATATGTATCACGATATGTTTAATTGCTTATAAAATCTTTTTTTGCATTGAAATAAACAAATTATTTCTTTGCAAATAAGAATAATTTATTCAAAATAATTGTTAATATGTTGTAAAACAAAAATATTTTACTCAAATGGTGTTATTTATTATTTATTTTATATCTATATTTATATTCAACTTATCTATTTTATATATTAAACCCCAAATATTAAATAAACAAATAAAAATAGAAGTCAGATTTTCATGGGCGATATTTCGATATTTCTTCATATGTATCGATATGCATATCGTCTTTACATGTATCACTATATATCGATATCTCGATATATCGTCCCAGCCCTACTCTATTTGATGCAACAGTACACAAATCTTAACAAAAATCTGAACCAGGCTATCTTGTGTTAGTTTTGTATCACAGTGGGTCATCCTGTCAGTAATGATATTCAGTCACAATATGCATCTGATCCCTTTGTTTTCGGTTGGAGTTACAAGCCTATGAATATAGAGTGTGTTTGTGATAAATACTTGTTTAAATAGGCTCACAGTGACCTCATTATCCTGTACCAATCCTTTACTGAACAGGGCCTAAGCATTATAATCTTGTTAATATGCTTATTTGTGGTAAACTGTCATAAAATCATACATCCATAAAATATGCTTAAAGATCAATCTCATCCCAAGTTCTGGCTCAGACAAGTCACTTACATGCAAATACTCGATTACCCCCATTTTTATGCACCAATGATCAATTTCCTTAATTTTCACGCATCATTGATCTATCTTCAGTGGCGTTAATCTCCTTCTTTTAATTTCAAAATGAAGATGATAGCTGATAATATAATTACACTCAAGAAGAACTAAGTTTAGACTATTTTTATCAAATGTTTATTAATTATTGAATTGAAAAAATTTTTTCTGTTTGCCTTCTTTAAAATTTAAGTACAGCATGAAGATTTTGACTAAAGCTTAAGATGTTTCATGATCCCAGGACCTGGTTCTCAGGAATGGCCAACTTTTTTAAAAATGGGGCTAGTTTGAACTTACATATAGTTAACATGGCCAGGCATCTGGAATAAAACATGAACTTCTTCACTACATATAATTATACTGCCTCCAAGTCATGTCCTGCATTTATTTCTAAGACGTCTCTGATTCCAGATTTCCTTTGATGCTGATTTAAATCATGTACATGTACCAGAAATCCTTAGATAAGCACCCAAAGATAATAACAATACTGCTGCAGCATTTCATTAAGACAAATATATCCCATTAAAAATGTGTGACTACTTCAAGAGAACTGGGTCTGGCTATCAGTCTTCAAAAAAAAGTTATCCAAATCAATATCTGTAATCTTTTATTCATGGAGAGAAAGAAAATAGGTGCATCAAATGACTTTATTGCATCTCTTCAGCCAATTTACAGATCTGAATGTTTATCATGAACAAATTGACTATCATTGTATGGGAGAGTATTCCCTCCCATTCAGCAGGTGGGTAGGGCTTACATATATCGTTATAATTTGAAAAATTGCATAACTTCCAATACGTATCACGATTTTTCCTGTTCTGTTTAAAAAATGGGAATATCAATCACCAAAGATTATACTTCACTTCTTTGAATTAAAACTGTTCAATTATTATAAAATTTGTTAGGAAATAACAAAGTTTTTATAATTATCACACAATACAAAGATAATGTTATTTGAACATTTGATTTTACTGTCATTAAAAGTTTTAGTTTGAAGTGTTATTTGTAATGACAATGAGACAAGAACTTTGAAATGGGTAATAAAAACCCGTGTTTGTTATGAAATTCATGCATCAAAATGATTTAGAAGCCTTCTCTGATAAACTTGTTTTAGAATCCAATATATCGCATATTGCTTTAAAAAATATTGTATCGTATCGTATCGAAATTTTTGGCTCAATGCACAGCCCTACAGGTGGGGTTACATGTTATAATTTGTATTGCATTACCACGATCCTGTGAAAGTGTTTACTCCAATATTTCTATCAAGTAAAATTATTTAGACATTAAAACAGTCCTAAAGATATATATCTGACATTCCCTTTAGTAACAAACATTGCTGAAAATGTGAATCTTCTGACTACGAAAATGTTGTTTTAATTCATACAGGTTCATATATACCTTCAAGTAGCCAAATAAATAATTCATCTGGCCTTATTATTAAAAAAGAAACAAAGGTGTAATATGCCTTAATTTTCTTGGATTTTTTAAAAAATAACTTCCAGCTAAACAGGCTTTAAAAATTGCCATGATCTTCTTTAATCTTGAAAAAAAAAAAAAACTGAAAAAATTTGCTTGGCCTACTACCTTTTCTTAGGAGTTCGTTCTCCTCTGTACACTTTGAAATTGTTAGATTTATTTGTGGAATCCTAAAGTATACTTTAATTATATTATTTACAGTGTTTAATTGTTATTAATTTATATTGCCTTCTCATGTTATGTAACATACTTTTCATGCTTCTGTGTCTAAGGCACTTTACCCTCATGTAACAGTCGTTTTTCATGTTATATGTTTCCGTATTGTGTATGTCCCTGACTATTATATGTATTCATAACTTCATGTGTTTGTACGTCTCTATTTGTGTTATTTTTAATGTTTTTATTGACGCCATTTTTGGTTTTAAATAATGGTTAATTAGTCGAGGCTGTTAGCAATTGGGGGTGGCATTCCATTTTTAGACTATTTCAAATAATCCTTTAAAGGAGAGCCCCCTGGTGACAGGGACCTTTTTAACCATATAATTAGATTTTTAAATAAAAACAAATTAATTAGCAAATTTTAAAAACTAAAATCTTTCCAGAATTTTTTCTTTGTCAAATGAAAGGTCACAGCTAAATTTTTTTTTTTTTTTTTTGGTAAAAAAGTGTGAGTTAAATCTGGTGGTTAATGATTTCATTCAACTGATTATTATCACTTACATGTCTAATGTATTTTACATTTTATTACATAACAAATAAATCATGGTTATGTCTGCCCAAACTTAACACTGTGTTGTCTTACTTTATTTCCATCTAATTGTGAAAAAAAAATTGTAGATTAAAATTTTAAAAATGTAGACATTGATTTAAATAACTTGGGGACTCCCATGCCAATTTTAATAGTCTTCAGCCACTGATGTCAACGCAGCCGCACGAGATTTACATGCATATTTGGCCTCCTTAGCTTCAGACAAAGATTTTCACAAAAAAAATTGTGCACAAGATTTTAAAAATGTAGACATTGATTTAAATAACTTGGGGACTCCCATGCCAATTTTAATAGTCTTCCTGAGCCACTGATGTCAACGACCTGCCTAATTTACATGCATATTTGGCCTCCTTAGCTTCAGACAAAGAGACAGATGTGCACAAGATTTGCATGCATATCAGGCCTCCTTAGCTCCTGACCTACTGACCTGCCTAATTTACATTCCAGTAGAATATCAAGATATCAACTCTGCTTTATTTACTTTCAAAGAGTTTTCACAAAGAAAAAAATTAGAAATGGAAATATTATGGTATCAAAGTAATATTATAAGGGTATTCACAAAATTAAATCTTGAATCTGTAAAATTTAAGTAACCCATGAAAACTTAAACCTCCCAAAATTTTGATGGATCCACTGTTACTGGGTACTGTATTTTTCTCCTTAAAACTTTAGCGCAAAGTAACTCCTCAACTGATCATGATTAAATAAGTACACTTGATTCTCCTGAAACAACCAAATTATGATTGCTGCTAAAGAAATATGATTTAGATTGCTGCTAAAGAAATATGTTTTAAATAATGTATCAATTTGTCAGGAAATAATTTTTTTGAATAACAAAAATTCATTTCATTCTTGATTCAAAAGTTAAAATTTCAACATCTGTTTTTAATTATACATGCATGATAAATTAACAATAATATTTATTTTCATGTTATCAGTCTTAAATAACAAGGATTAATTCAATTTCATCCTAATAAATAAAAAGTTTAGAATTCAACAAAAATTCATTATCTGTTCTTTTAAAATTAATTAATTACTGGGTAATGCATACATATGAGTTAAGATTATTAATTTCCAATATACATTAATTTCAATTTCTAAAATTTTTTTTCTCCTTCATTAACAAGTCTGCAGATTAATTTATATATTAGAAAACAGCAATTATCCATAACTTTAAAATGCCCTTTAATATTAAAAAAAAAAAAATTAAGAAGCATTTGCGACGTTCCAAGGAAATTACTACAAACAAAGCAGTCAGGATAAAGTTGATTGCTTGATAGCAAATTAATTTAAGTAATTTTAAAACTGTGTTATAGATGTTGACGCTGGTGAATGAAACATTAGCTTACTCATACTGCCATCTCTGACGTACATTTTATCTCATGAGAGCTACAGTTCTGGAGTGAGTAAGGTAGAAATAGGAAATTTCAATTAGGAAAATCACTGTTCTCCCACATGCATATTGCAAGAAAAAAGTATTATTATTCTAAATGTTCACGTTTTCAACATTTATAAAATTACGTTTATATACATGTATAAAAAAGAATAATGCCTCTTTTTCAAGCAAGCAAAAAAAAAATGAAATTTATCTCTGAAATTGTTCATGCATATGTTCATTTTGTGAGGAAAAAATGTGAACCTGCCATTGTTGCTTCTGTATCTCTGGCTATTTTCAAAATTGTCCGAAACTTTGTTGATTCACACTACGTATAATGGTACAATTTTATTTGTCTGATTACAATGTAAGTAGTAAACAGACATTAAAGTATCTACATGTCTTCTTTGTCTTTAAATACTTAGCTTTCTGCCTGTCTTCATTTTATTTAAAAAGTTATCATTTGCAAGAAGTTAAAAGTACCATGAGGTAATTTCAAACATGGCCGATGCTAGATTTTGACATGCTGATTGTGATATTGCAGGGATGCTTTGGCTCAATTTTGAATGTCCTTTAATGGGAGTTGAATTATGCTCTCTATTGAAGTCCTAATGATATCCATTAGAAAACTGCATGGATTTCAACAATAGCACTTTTATCTCGGTCATTCAGAGGCCTTCAGACTCATCCTTTATGCACAAGCTGCCAACATTTTATTGTCTTGTCACACCAGTAATAACTCATTGTAAATTTCCTGGAATCAATTTTTGGAAGCTGTCATTGCACTGTTCATCATTTTACAATTTCCAAATCCAAGGACACATTGATCAAGGAAAAGTTAAACTGATAAAGTATGAATGTTGTCTTCATATAAATTTTACAGGCCGGTATTTAGCAGCAAGTTTTTTATCTGCTGAATAGAAACTAGTTCCATACAATAAGAAATTGACACCCCCTCTAACCCCCCACCCACCCATCCCAAACATTTTCAAAACAGATGTTGCAAAATTATAACAACTTTCTTTTAATCAATTAATTCATGCTTACTTAAAATAATCGATGACTTTGAAAGAGGCAAATGCTTTTGCTTCTCACATGATGGCAGATATAAATCAGTGTGTTTAGATTACTTGTTGCTGTCAATGACTTGGAAGGTAACTGGTTATAATCAGTTCAACAATCCTAATTGCAAATACCATGCAAAATCTCTTTTCTTTCCCTGCAAATTCTTTGTCACTAGAAATTGATTGTTCTATGTCAAGACGATTGGAAAACATACTGTAAAGCCAATAAGGCAAGATGTAGAGAGTTAATTGATGAATGCCCGTATTGCCGAATCTCGTGCTCATTCATCATATACTCTTTTTAAATAGTTGAAAACCTCAGTTACAATGACTGCACTTCCACATTATTAAAAACATTTTTTATAATAAAAAATAAATGCTGTGCAAGTTTTTATTATATACTGAAATTGGATCAAAATAACCTCCTTTAACAACCACTCTAAGCTAGCTAGGGTATATAGTAATTGAGTGCACGGTTCAGTCTGGGGTCTTGTTTGCATTGGGAGCTTATTGTGAGGGACCGTAGGATAAAGCTGTATAGGGTGTCAATATCATGTCAATGTAAAACTAATTCCTTCTGACTTGTCTGGTTCAATCTCCCGAAGTTAGCCACTAAGTACAGACTGTTGTGACAGCTGACATTTCACATGTAAGCATCTCATGAATAACAAACTTCTCCTATGATGTGCATTTATTTAATTTGCCTCATGTAATTTAAATCTATTAGACTTCATTTTTAAAATCTAAATCACAATGAAATGGCTATGCCTTTTATGCAAATTTTCCAATATGTTTCCAACTATCGTTAATGCCCTGGCATACTCTTTTAACTAGACAGTGATTCCTTAAATACTTTGACTGGGATACATAAAGGCATTGAGTCTGAACTATCTTGATTTTAATATCCTCAATTATCAGTCTTCATGGATCTCAAATGCAAGAATTGTTTAATTTTTATTGACAGCCCCAGTTTATGTTTTAAGATATTTTAAAAGGTTTATTGCATTTGCAAAACTTTAATGTTATTCCAGCTCTGATGTTCAAAACAGAGGATTTAGTTTGTTTTAAATAGCACATAATTCATTATTTTCTCTTATCTGATCATACTGAGGAATTCATGTTCAGACTTTTATTCTTTTCAGGCAACTACCAACGATATATCAAAGGGAATTGTAGAAAGAAAAGGAAATTTACAGATGCATCCTTTCAATAATTCACATCTTACCATCACATGAGCTTTCAAAGTCTTGCAGCACACAATTTCAGAAAAAGTATGCACATTTATCATATTTGATTAGAAGAGGAAACCACAGCTATATATAGAAATATAGTCGAATTTCAACACCTGGCATCCACCTGATCAACATAAAGCTAATAAAAAATGACAGATGATTGGATAATTCCAAATTCCACCATGGATTACTCTTACTATTATTTTGGAAATGAATCCTGGAACTCTTCGCATTGGCCTATGGATGCCCACTTTGAGATCTCGGACTTCGAGAGTCCTAATCTACTGCGTAATAGTGGCTGGAGGATTTTTATGATCATTCTATTCGGAGCTGTCATCTTCTTGGGTTTTATTGAGAATTTAATGGTGATTATAGTTATCATTATTAACAAGCGACTTCACACTGTGACAAATATATTCATATCTACATTGGCTTTCTCGGACATAATGCTCTGTGCGTTTAATTTGCCATTCCAGCTGCATTATGGTTTGACAGATTACTGGTCATTTGGTCCAGTTTTGTGCCAAATTATTATTCCGATGTTCGCTGTTCCAGTTTTCATGTCAACATTGGCAATGCTCATGATTGCTGTAGAAAGATACATTCTAATTGTGTTTCCATTTCGCAAGCGACTGACCATACAAATGGCTTTAATTATTGTGTTTTTTATAATAATTTTCTCTGTGGTGTGCTCAATTCCAATAATTCTACACACAGAGCAAAGTCAAGAAGTGATTGATCTCCGACCCTTTATTCAAGACATTATTGAAAAGAGTTTCTGCATTGAAAATTGGAAGTTAAAAACAAGTCGAGCTTACACGATGTTTGTCTTTGTGCTACAATTTTTCATACCATACATCATAATTTCAGTACTTTATTTCCAAATCTACCAAGTTCTGAAAAAACGCCCTATTAAAAGAAAGGAAACCAGAAAGAACTACCAAACAACACGAATCTTAATAGCAATAACAACCACATTTACCATATCATGGCTTCCTTTTCAGATATTTAGCATAGTTTCATACTTTAATCCAAATATCAGTACCCATTTAGGGCATGCTTACAAATTAACAGACTTGATTTTAAAAATCATTGCCATGAGTTCAGCCTGTGTAAACCCATTCTTATATGGCTGGCTAAATGATAAATTCCGACAGGAATTCGGAACAATGTTGGGAAAACGGATGAAAAAGATGCAAGTGAGTAGGAATGGGTACTTTCGTACTTCTGGACAAACTTCAATGGATTATCGTACTGAACGAAACTGTGTGACAGGAAACCTCTGATTTGAATGTGCACATTGCAAGGATAGATTATGAACATGAAGAGTAATAATTTTTCTATTTTTTATCTCACTGATGATCAGTGCATGTGCTGCGATAATGTAGTTACATACCCTGGTAAATAATCAATCACTGTTGCATATTCACCATTAATGATAAATAAAACATTGTGTTGTTTACTTCTTTCAACACTGAACAATTAATTAAATGAAATTTACAAATAAATAAACTGTATTATATTTGGCAAGGATCTCAAGGAATTCTTCTCAGTTAAGATTATTCCAAATTATATTCTTAGAAAAAAACTCTTCACAAATTGCTTAATAGCATATATTCAATATATCCTTTTTATCTAAAATTTTCACTGTTCATGAATTAACTGTTTGCAATATTTTTAATATTCATCTTTGCCAGTATGTTTCCTTAATGGCTCAATCAATTGAAAATACTAATGAAAATGCCACTCAATTTTCGATAAAATGAAGTTGGTCATGTGGTCAGAAATTTTTGCATGTAAAAAGCAAACTGTATGAACAATTTGGAGGGTATAGATTGTCATGTTTCATTCAATAGTTGTGTTTCCCTGACAGAGTCTAAAGTGTTTAATATTTTTCTTTCTAACACATCTAATTAGAAATATAAGTATAAGAAATAAAATGTCACTTTTTAGAGTTCCATTTGGTTATATATATATATATGACATGGTTTGTACATTATCAAATCTACTATTTGAGCATTTTAGGACCAAGCATTCAAGTGACCAACTTTATGTCATATCTCAGTTAAACTCTACAAATGACATCTTATTTCTATAAGTCAATTTGTCTTACAGTCAGTATGTACATATTATGATTATTGATCAACCTGCCTGAAACATGTTTTGTAAAATTGGCCAAACCTTAAGAAACTGGTCTCTAAGTCAGTAATCTTTCAGGTACTCAGAACTTCTATATAAGGGATGGATTGTTATATGAAAAATAACAAATACTGTGAGAAAAAGAAATTTTTGTAATACTATTGTGGGACAACTGTATGATTATTAAATTGGTTACTACTTGTAAGATATGCTGTATTTTTTAAAAATACATGGGATAATAAATTTTTCAATTCTTGAATTATTGTTTTGATTCATTGGTATATATTTTCAATAACAGTCATTCTTGATTTAAAATACTCCTTGCACATGTTGCAGGAAGGCCAACTTAACAAACAAGATGTGTTTGTGAACCACTTATGATAAATATTATCAATGTAGGTCAAACTTCAAAGTCAAAATCAAGAGTTCAAAAATGTTGAAATCCACAGGAAAGTCTTGTCATAAGGAATGCACTTGTAAAATATGAGAGAAAATAAAGTACTAATCATTCAAAAAACATGGTCAAGGTTGAAGGTTTTTTTAAAGTAGGTCTTGTTCCAAGGTCAATGTCATGAGGGCAACAAATAATGGTACCATTGGAATTGTACTTATCACAAGAAATTCATAAGTGAAATATAAAAGCCCTAGCAGCAACATAACCACATAACCATTCAAATACTTAGAGAAGGTTAATCTTTTTTAAATGAGGGTCAAACTCCAAAGTTCTAGTCCTGGTCAAAATGCTGGTACCTGAGGAAAGGTCTTTGAGGAATATATATTCAGGGTATATATATTATATCTGATTTTTTTTAAAGTCCTAGCACCCACCATTCAAAAATTATGGCCAAAGAGCTCAGTTCACTTTATGCATAAAATGGGCCTGTAGATATACCAATTTATTGACTAACACTTTATGTTCCATTTTAACATCAAAATAAAGTAGAGACGTAGTACTTTCATATCCAATTAAAATTTTTCTCCTTAAAGGCCGAGATTTTTAACCGAACGGTTTTCTCAGATAAGGGGAGGAACTAAATTTTACATGCTTGGCACCCCGAGTCATTGACGGTCGCGCAGACCAGGGAGAACGCTAATCCCTATACACAAACAGTATACACAGGAAGTCTATGAGTATTTTAGCTGTTTTGGCCTACTTTTCATCATAAATTAGTAGATCTTGACATCGTAAATAAAAAATGTCATTAGTAATTAAAATGATATTTGCAAAATTCCATAATTTTCAGACTTCTATCTAATATATCAAGCAGAAATTCCATCGGTCTACTTTTGTAAAAATCTACAGTATGTACCTAACATTGTACTTCACAGCAGCAATTAGTTGAGTTCTTGTAAAAAAAAAAAATTAATGAAATACAGGTACATTTTCAAATGTAAAAATATTCATCCTTGCCTGTCCCTTTCTATATTTTTTAAAAATTTTTATAATCATCCTAAATACACTAGCACAGAGCTTCGATACGATCAATAGTAACAGTTACTTCCCGTTTGTATTAAAAGTCGCGTGGTCCTATTTTTAGCAAAGGTGTCCTATTGTGAAAAATTCGCGATAACGATGGTTTCAAGAAGTTAATTTTATCTACAAGTGTGTGTGAATTTGAAGTTAATCTAAATTATGATAGATTAACTAAAAACAAAATATTAAGTTATTGCTAACTTATGTATTTCTTTGGAACTTATTTCTAACACCTGTGACCTTGAACGGAGATAACAACCCACGTAGTAAGAAATGCACGGTTATAAAAAAATTGAAAAGAAAAGAGAAAGTCTTAATACTTGTCCAGGCTATAAGTTGTTTCTAATAAGATATTCTGCTTTCATCTTTACTTTTCATTACCAGCTTATATTATTTTTCTCCTCTATTTTCATCATACCCGGTAATTTTTTCGCCGCGTCTCAAAACAAGAATATTTTATGAGTGAAGACAAGATTTCAATCACCTAAGCACTTTTCATTAATAAAAAAAAATATACACAATCTTGATTTATTTTATTGAAAAACTATGAGAAAATTTTCATTTTTTCATTTTTCAATGATATTTTTGTAATTCAGATAATTATAATCAATCATTATCAAGCTAAAATTGTTTGCATCAAAATGGCTTCCTAATTGTGCTGGTAATTTAGCAGTAAACATCAGAAGACCGAAAGTTAATTCGATGGTGGCCACGAGTGTCATTTAACAAGGTGAAAGAGTTATACACAGGGACTAGTAGCTAAATGTCAATCAATTTTCAGTACCCAATGATGGACCTTAATTCATTTGATTGACTGTGGGGGAATACAGACCAGGTAAAACTGAAGGCGATGCTTATTATCTCCGGCTTTAAACTCCAGGTCTTGGCTTTATGGAATTACAATGTTCTTGAATTTTAATGTAAACAGGCATATTTGATTACTTTTGGAGAAGAAAAATAATATGAGCGCATGTGCACTCAGATCTAAAAAATAAATTTAATCATGTCTTGTATTTATCCTCAGAAACATTTCTTTCATTTACTACTTGCTTATTTTAGATCAGAGGTTGCAATCTATATTAAATATTGAAAAATAGCTTTAAAAATTGGCTGTTTTTGTAGATTTTTTCTGAATATGAGAAAACTGACGCATTTCGTGATGTCATAAAGCATTGACTAGCCAGAAAATTATGTCACTTTTATAGGCATGCAATCACCAAAGGTCTAAATGAAATATCTAATGCATTCTTAACTAAAATTAAGCAGTTTCAGTTTTTCAGAAATTCACAGGGCCAAATAAGGCCATATGTGAACCTTGTTCTTTTAAAATCTCAAAAAGGTCAAACTCAAGGTCAAGATCCAAAGGTCAAAATGTGCTCATACCCTAAGAAAAGTTGGTGTCATAAAATACACATGTGAAACATAAAATACTTGGCTATAACCATTCCAAAGTTATTTATTACTGAAGTTAACTTTGGTAAATTCTGCAGCAGAAGGGCGAACACCAATTCTTATTTTACTTTTCCTAGTCCCCCGCCTTCAAAGAGAAACTACAAGATACAGCCTACATACAACACAGGCGGTATTAAGATAGATGCAGGGATTTTTCAATTTTAATATTTTTTTTTTGGAGTTCAAAGATTGATATATCATTAGAAAAAACAACTCATGCAACTGAGCTATCCTTCATGTCATTAAATTCTTGATACAAAAGACATCATTAATCTTTTGCTCTGTAATTTGACCAGATTTCAGCCAAGAAAAAGGAAACATTATCATCTCAAACTGAAGGCAAATTTTGAGCAATTAGTTATATACATTACCATTTCATCATACACAGAATGCTAAGAATCATGGCCAATTACTTATGATACATGCAAGAGTAAACAGTCTTTAGAGATAAGGTTGTTGAAACAGATGTCATCATCTCATTTCTAAATCCACCAAAGATAAAACATAACCAAGTAAACTACAAAATGACCAGGTGATAAAACTGATAATGGCTAAATGCAGAGATTAAGCAGGTGATAATAGTGGGTACTGTACACTGTACATCTGAAAATTCAGAAACCAGAGAAAACAAGATATGAAGGATACACACTGATGCCTCCTTATGGCAGCACATGGCAAAGGATTAAGTTGAATCAATCTATGAAATTATGAATATCAAAACTTTTCTCCATTTTGCAGAAATTTTCTCACCAAAAATTATTCTATAAATTCTTTCATCAAGGGGGGGGGGGGGATTAAAATGATCATTTTGATCCTCTTTAACCCCTCACATGGCAAAGATTTTAAGCATTTCTAGACAAATTGATATTAATATTTCAATGCATTTTTGGGGCATTTCTTGTAATTTTTGTATATACCAATGTATATATATTCTGAAAACGGGTATTGTGTAGTTTCTGCAAATGATTTTCAAAATATCATTTCAGTTGCCATGGCAACAAAATACACTATAATCATGCTGGAATTTCCATTTATTGAATAATGAGTTTTATTCTCATTTTTTGCTTAGTTAAATGTATTAAAAAATATTTCATTGTTGTGTTGTAAATTATGAGCATGTTGTACATTTTTTGTATTTTGGGGGATGGGGTGGGGTTGGGATGTAACACCAGAATTTAGCATTTTTACACATAACGTGTTATCCCCACATTGATATCCATAATGGCAAAATGGCTCAAAAAAAGCGCAAAGTTTTACTCAAGCTAGCAAAAAACTGGTACAACCAATAAAATAAATTCCTGTATATTATTTTACTGTAATTATTTTCTCTTTCCAACTGTGCAAGATTTATTCTGATATTTCCAGCATTAACGAAGTTATCAATGTTTTTTCACTTGTTTTTCTTGTCAGATGCGTAGAAATGTGTATATGCCATGTAAGGGGTTAATGTGTGTATCTCTATATGCTATTTCATAGACAAATAATTTCAATCTTTGTGACATTTTTGCAAATTGAACAATTCATATATACAATATATACATTTTTCACCTTCTTATTTGTCTCACTACAAGCAATTAGCTGGTCTTGTTTGTCCATCTTGTTTACAGCATAACAAAATTTTTGGAAAACACATAAGTGTATCAAACAAAATTCATATTTTTTATTGACATACATTATTATCATACTCCTGGTTGCTTGTAGCTGTTTGGAATACTTCAGTGGTACAAACACATTGTGTTTGACAGCCCTCAATTCTCCTGCGCTCTGACTATGACAACATTAGACATAAACACAGCAAGGTTAATGTCCATCAAATTAACTCAGGTTAAGTCTTCAATAATAATGATTTTCAACAGAATATAATTAGATTTGATGATGAAATATTATACCTTCTGACCAGAAGTTTATACAGTATTACATGTTTAGTGCGAACATGGATATAGCAAATTCACAGATATAAAAGTTTTTCGGGGTATCCAGCAAAATTCTTAACAATTCTTTGGAAAATTTTATGGTACCGTTATATTTATAACTCTAATTTATCCCATGACCGACAAATTTTTCTTTGATCTTCGCAAGGGTGTATTTCTCATATCAACATAAGTGTGGCGATATATTAAATATCACATGTGTGATATAAAGCTAAATATCCAACTGTTATACCCTGATGTAGGAGGAGCTATGCAAATGAGACAAAATATCGTTTCTAGATTTTAATGAACTAACAAAAACAAGAGGGAAAAAAAACAAAACAGATTACAGTTTAAATCAAAATGCACAAATCTTTACAAAAAAGACACTGA